AAATTAGTCCCATTTAGCCTCTTTTTCACGAAAATACCGGGAAAATGGATGAAAATCAAGGATTTTGACCTCAAAAATAGGGATTTTATCCCAAAAAATAGACAGAGGATAGAATTTTCTAATTAATGGTCCTAAATAGTTCCCGAAGTAGGAGTCTTTGTCTTTCTTTCGTCTCGCTTCAGTCTTGAACAAGGGATTTTGCACTCTTTTACCGGGAAAATGGCCCAAAATATCCCTAAAAATAGACAGAGGATAGAATTTGATTATTATTGGTCCTTACAGTCGAATGAAGAAAGAAAGAGTCTTGTCTCCCTTCCCTTCTTTCACTATAAACTCTCTTTCCTCTTGAGTTTCATCTTGTCTTTCGTTGAGTCTTCCTTACAGTTCAGGAGCGAATCAGCTTTACTGACAGGTTTCGTCTTTCTTTTCGTCTTTCCTTCTAGGTTCAAGAGTGAAATGACAGAATAAATAGGGAGAGACTCAGGTTTTCTCTTTCGGCTTTACCTTGTTTTTGAATAAAGAGGTGCAGGAGTGATTGATCATTAATAAGTAGGGAGAGGAGAAAGGATTGAATGAATTTAGCTTTACCTAGTGAAAGAGTGAAAGAAGAAGTCGAATTAATTAGGTGAAAGGAGTCTTTGTTTACTGTTCAATAGGATCAGGAGCTGATCTTTCTTTCCTTCCGGTTCAGGATTGAATGAATAAGGTAAATAGAATAGGGTCAGGTCATAGAGGTTCCGGTTCAGAAGTAATAGTCCTGTCCTGTTCAGTCTCTCTCTTCTCATCCGAATTACCTAAAAAATGGCCCGAAAAATAGGGTAAAGCATCGATTTAATAATCAATGGTCCTTACACTCAAAAATAGGAATTTTATCCCAAAAAATAGACAGTGGATAGCATTTTAGAATTCATGGTCCTTAAAGGATCACGACAATGAATTGGGAGTCTTTGTCTTTGTCTTGTCTCCCTTCTTTCTTTGATTTACTCAACAGTAAAAGTTCTTCCATCAATTCATTCTTTCACTATAAAGGAGAATGATTCTTGTTTCGTCTTCTTTTCTTTCCCTTCTATCATTCTCTGTAAGGTTCAGGTTCAGGATTGAATTCATTTACGACTGTCAAGTCTCATTCATCTTTCATTTTCTTCTTCCTATCACTGTTCTGTCTAATTCTTCTTTCTTGTCTTGCTTTCGTCTTGACTTTGATTCTAGAACTGTAAACTCGGGTTCTTCTTCTTTCACTCGTTCTCACTGCTATTTGACTCACTAAACGTAAATGGGTTTCACTATCTCTTTTCTTTCCTTTGATTCTTTCACTTCCAACTTTGTCTGCGTCTTCTTCCTTTTCCTCTGCCTGAACCTTTTTCCTATACTTTCTTTACAGGGAGAGTCAATTCATTCAATCCTTTTCTTCTATTCCCTGAACCTTATTCATTCAACTGAAAGTAAAGACTCAACTCAAGCTATTTGAGAGTGAACTGTAAGACTCAACTTCTTATTAATTCTACTTCTTTCACTCTTTCTTCTTCTCCTTAACTACTTATTAATTCTCTTCTTTCACTCATTTACTCGTTCTCTGTTCTTTCCTTTTCCTTCTTTCACTGGGTAAAACATATTCACTATCTCTTTTCTTTCACTCATTTTCTTCTGTAAATGGGTGTGGGCTCTTCCTCCTTATTAACTTATTAATTTCTTCCTTCTTTGTTTAAGGGGCCAGTCCGGATGCTCGTCATAAAAAAGGACTTTGATTTACTCACTTCTATTTAATAGAGTCAATCTCTGTAGGCCAAGATATATATCTATTTTGTCATTGGGAAGTAAGGCTTAAGTCGACGAAAAAGCTAGGAAAGGGGATCATATAGCTAGGGTTGCCTTCGAGGCTAGGGGAGATGGGACTTTCTATTATGGCAGGCTAGGTTACTGCTCTCTCTATCTCTATCTCTAAGAGGGATTTCTAAGGAAACAGGAATGCATTCTTGACTAGCAAGAGAAAAACCGGTCCTCATTTGATAAGATTTATAAAGCAAAGAAAGGGCTCTACTCTTTGAATCTCTGACTAAGCCCATTCCTCGAGTACCGTTTGCTAACTACACGGCTAACGCAACTGGTAACTGTTGACTGCTTCTTCTCTTGTCTTTAACTATTAACGTATAAATCTCTTTCTTTTTCTTTATTAATTCTTGGCTGGCTCGTAGGTTAGAAGGATAAGGTCAGTGTGCAATCCTAAAGAAGTAGCTCGACATTCCGTTGATAGTGGAGATTGACTTAGACAGGCTAGGGTGGTTGCCCATTCATGTAAGGAACTTCCCAGCCAGCAAAAAGAAGAGATGGGTTTCCAGACTTAGAGGAGAATCCACAAAGAGGACAGGCTCAATCGATTGAAGGATAGAGCGGAGCATCTAAGCGAGTAAAAGGCGCTTAACTTGGGATGCCCAGGCATGGGCTCGACAACGAAACCTAATAGTTAAAAGATAGTCAGATTAGTTAGTATGAAGATTCCTTTTCTACCAGTCTAGGGAATTAGCTTGATGTGCCTGAAGACAGTGAGCTTCTCCATACAAGAGAAAATCTCTTGGAAGAGAGTTCCCCGCTTTCACGGCAAAAAGTAGAACAAGAGCCAGCCTTCCAACCTGTCCATTTAAGAAATGATATAAATATCAATATGGTTCGCGTCGTATCGGAGTATCCCACCTTTGAGAGCAAGGCCCAAAACACTGCACTCTCATCCAAGATGATACAAAGTAAATAGGAAACACCAACCCAGAAAAAGGAATTTCTCCTCTTCTGACTGCCCGCACAACCATACCGGATTTTCGGTGGGAAATGAAATAGAAATTTGATTTATCCTCACGCTCTCTTGGGTTTCTTGTAGTCATTGTCGGACCGAAACTCTTCCCCCTAAATCCTTTCTATTGCAGGTTTCGAGCTACTCGCAACTATATTGACAAAAGTCCAGTTGATGTAGCGTAGGTGGAATAATATCTTCCCCATCTCTATTGGAATGAATAGTCATGCTTAAATAGTCATTTCCCGAGACCAAGGAGAGAAAGTGATCCCTGTCTCTGCTGCTCTCTCCTTTTCATTGCCTGAAAACTTCAAAGGCTGCTCCTCTTTCCCCCCGGCACCCATTGAATTTGCACCCTAGAACATCTCGACTTTTTCACTCCAAAAAAGCAGCCTTAGCCTGATTCTTCTATACGATACCACCAGACTATATCTAACTTTCACTTCTTCAGAAGAAAATAGATAGAAAGTATGTTATGTATGCATGCGGATCGAATTCCTCTCGTGGGCTTCTGCTCCGCACCTGACTAATGGTTTAAAGACTCTTGCTGTCCTATGAGAAAGGATAAGTAAATAAAATACAAGCTTTAGCTTGAGAAAGGTGCCAATCCTGATTATTGATTGAGATTCCAGTCTAGTAAGAAAGGAGGAGAATCAAGTGCTTTTATCCATTACCCAGTAAGGCAGTTCACTCTTTCTAGAGTAAGTAATTCCCTTCCCCGAAAGCCTAGAGCCATAACTCTTAACGATGCACAAGTAATAGCTAATATCTATCGTTTCTTTCGTGCCCAAGTCCAAGCATGGGATTCGACCTGACCTATGAACTTCTGAGCAACATTGCCCTAGGCGGCTACAACGACTTAAACTTGAGGATCACAACGAACTATATGCTTATCTAGGCGCGTCTTGGGCTCTTTTATCTCTAACTCGAAATATCGATCGGACGTAAGATCAGAAAAAGAATAAGAATCTGACGCCTAAAATTCCCATTTCTTTTTTGGTTGGACTAACCCAGCCGGTGATTGATTTTGAATTGGCCAAGTAGAGCCCTCGCCTACTCCTTATACTTAAATACAAAAATGGATTCATTTTGTCTCTTCCTTCTGTTCTAGGGGGAGCGGAGAGTCAAAGAATGAACCAAAGAAAATAGAAATATATAGTGATCGAGAAATAAGATATTTGAGAGAATATAAAAAGAAAACTAGAATAAAGAAGACAAGAAAAGTTGAAACCTTTTATGTGATTTCTTATCTAATGATCTAATCAGACGTGGTAATCTAATTAATATTACTAGCATGAATATGTCCCGTTATCTAAAAATCTTCCTAGGATCTGTCATTTTCTCCTTTCTTTACTAATTCTTTTTTACCGGCTAAGCTTATTCTGTGTTTAGGTGCGTAGACAGTGCACTATGGCGGCCATCTCCTTTTCTTGTACTGTGTTC